TCTTGTAATCGGAAGGTTGCAGGTTCGAGCCCCAGCTCCGACAGTCTCGGTCACCAACAGGCCTACTCTGTCAATGCACCCCAAGGCAGCTGTGGCTGCAATGTAGCTGCCATCACGAATGGGTGGATGACTGAATGTAGTGTAAAGCGCTTTGGGGTCCATAGGGACTAGGAAAAGTGCTGTACAAATACAGGTCATTTATCATATTTAATATTAATTACAATTTTGATTATGTTAAGTTTACAATATTAAGTAAATGGAACAACATTTTGGATTAACTGACCATCTATATTTCAGTTACATGACCAAGCATGTCAGTGTTATTTACTCCATTTTTTTATGTTCGTGTAACGACTACAATTATTCATTTCAACTTAATATGTTTAAGCTTTAGTTTAAAAGTGTTGCTTCAAAAATTTAAAGTAATCTCAGTTTTAGTTTTAGAGTGTAAGTGCAGAAGAAAGTCTTAACGTCCCTTCAGTACAGTGGCAGTGGATGTGGGCTGGAGATGCAATGACCTTCGACCTGCCAGTGACCATCTTCACTGACCACACCTTCTGTGATGAACGACTCCTCTCTCCTGGTGTCCTGGAAGCAAACAATCATATATTTTAGAACACCAACTTATTTGCTTTCTTAAAACATTTTTTTCTGAATTTCCTATAGAACAGACCTCAGTTTACACTCTCAATCTCAGGCTCCCTCCCCACCAGAGAGGTGACATTCACTGATAGCTCTGACCACCAGCTGACACACAATAATGTCATGAAAGCATCATTTTAAAAAGGGCTCTGCAAACATGGCCAATAACTTATTCTGGTGATCTGCTGAATAATTTGGCCACAAAACTAATTTCACTGTTCAAAAAGTTGCAGACTTCACTATATACAGTGCAGACAGTGTGGACCCTCTAAACTAAGTCTGTGGGATATGATCTTTGAATGAATGCAGACCAAACTGTTGTTGTTTGTATTTACTTACACAGCATGTCTTGTAGGATTAACTGGAGTCATCAGCAACAGCATAGAGCAGTCATATCTCAGGTCTAATAATAGAAGACAGGAAACTAAAGCATAAAGGAAGCAGCAAGTAAAGCAGTTTGATGTAAAGTATGATTAAAGTTCAGCCTGATTAACATAAATGTGACAGCTACTAATATATTGTGGGAAGTAAACTGTAACCAAAATCCTTCCCACTCAGCTGATGTCTTTCTGTCCAACAGCTGCTCTTCTAGACTTGTAAGAGTTTGATGTGATGTGTGGAGTGCTGATTCAGAGCCTCAAAGAAATAGGTGGTCTCTTTTTAAAACACATAATTGAAATGTCATCATTACATAGGGTGAGACGTTCGGCCATACGGGAGGGGCTCAGGGTAGAGCCAGGAGCAGACCCAGGACACGCTGGAGAGATTACATCTCTCAGCTGGCTGGCTTGGGAATGCCTTGGTGTTCCTCCGGACAAGCTAGAGGAGGTGGCTGAGGAGAGGGAGGCCTGGGCTTCTCTGCCTAGGCTGCTTTCCCCATGACCCAGCCCTGGATAACCAGAAGAAGATGGATGGATGGATAAAACAGAAATGTTCATTAAATGTAAAAACAGTTTGCTTATGTCGCTAAAGAAAGACTAGATTTAACATTAATAGATGTCACAGATGTCCAAAAACAACCATAAAAAATTAAAATAAATGCAGAGGTTAAGAATGTACAGTCCATGTTATAAAAGTGGATTAAAACAAGCTCCACCCCTAACGGCTGCACCTTCAGAAAAAGTTTCGTCTCGGCTCTTATCTAGTAGCTGCTCACTTTTCTATTTCAAACAATCAACAGAAAATTTCACTGAGAGATTTTATATAAGGTTTTTAAGCTGTGGGTTAATTTAAGTACCATGAGCCGAGAGGCAACACCAGTCTAACACTAGCTAGCTAGCAAGTTTATAAACCTGGTGCTAATCTGAGAGAAGGCACAAAACCAGTTTGAATAAGAGTAACACTTTACTCACCAAGTCAGTGAATCACATAAAGAATCACAGCAATGCCAACAATGATCTCTTAAGCTGAAGCTTCTCCAGCTTTGCTCAACATATCCTCTGGGTGCTTAAGGGTGCTCCATCTAGTGACGCTATTACTGGGAGACTTAAACACTCATGTGTGCAACAACAGTGAGAGCTGGAGGGGTGTGACTGAGGGACCTCTGTGCAAACCACAGTTTGTCCATAATGAACTATAAATGATATATGTAATATTTCCAAACTGTTAAAATGTGTTCGGTTTGCTGATGATACCACTCTGTATTGCTCAGGTAATAACCTGGAACAGCTTCTGACTACAGTGGAAAAGAACAGTGGAGAATATACTAAAAAATGGTTTCATATAAATAAGTTATTGTTAAATATAAATGAAATAATATGTATTATTTTTGGCACCAGACAAATGAAAAATGTATCTAAAATCAGGGTTAATGGAATTGAAATTGAAAACGTGTACGAAAAAACATTTCTAGAGAGATAATTGATAAGCTTTGTTGGAAGTCCCATATAAACCATGTGAAAACAAAAAAGTTAAAAACCGTTGCTATTCTGTACGAAACAAAAGATGTCCTGAGCAAGAATTCATTATAGACGCTTTATTGTTCTCTTTTGCTTCTGCTAATAGCTTTTTGACTAGCCTTATCTCCTGCTTTCTTGCTTTGTGGTAGATCTTTATTCTGTATTCACTGAGAGATTTAAATGTTAATCAAATAAATAAATTAGATAAGTGCACGTGGCTCCAAGATACTGTGGGCCACAGGTCAATGATCAATTTTGTAGTCGTATCATCAGATCTGCAGCCTAAAGTACTGGACATGGTTGAATAGAGGGGCTGAGCTGTCAACTGATAAACACCTGGTGCTGAGTTGGATCAGGTGGCACATCTAAACATAGTGAGGGTGCTCTTGGAATGGATGGTCCGTGAGATCTTCTACTTCAGTAGAGCTTCAACAGCATTCTGAGGGAGACCGGGGCCCTAATTTCCTTCAGGATTAATAAAGTATTCTGATTCTGAGTTTGAATGGACCATGTGCAGCACCTCCATTGCTGAAGCTGCTTCGCTGAGCCCCGGCCATAAGGTCATTGATGGCTTTCGTTTTGGTAACCTCCAAATCAAATGGTGGCCACTGGAGTACTCCTCCGGCTTGGTACTGAAAAAGGAGTCCTGTCGGTTTTTGCTAACCTGTGAAACTTCAGAGGCAGCTGATAGGTACCGACAGGCCAAGTGGTTCGGGCAGTTAAGACAGTTAACCTTGTCAGGTAATGATTGTAGTGATTCTCATTAAAGCTTCCTGGTTTGATCAGAAAATAAAACATTGGTCCAAACACCTGAAAGTCCTGAAAACGCGTTGTGAATTCTGTCTCGAGTCTACGGATGTATCCGTGTATTTCCGCGGTGCTGATGCTGTGCTGAGCATTTGAAGTGTTGAAATGTGAAAAGATAACAATGTCCCTCTTGCCGGTAGGTGGCTGATACATTTTTTGGGGGTTGTTATCTAAGATGTCGTCATTATGAAGCGGCACAACTAAAGGGTCTACGCAAGCAAATTTGCGATGTGCACGCTGGCGCGGCCATTTATTTTTCAATGCACCTTCTCAGATTAATTCACTGCATGTCGTGCCCAGGGCTGGACTGGGACAAAAAAATCGTCCCGGGCCCACCATTATAGGAAAAATTATAAAGCCTTTGAATGAAAATAAACACTGTTGTGACAGTGATGTTCACTGTTCTGATGGTATATATGCATCAATCTATCAATCGTTTGTTGTAAGACTCAGATAATTATTTTATAAAAGTGAGACATTTTAAATGAGAATAAGAAAGTATTTCTTTGTGCCCCCCTCTCCCTGTTAATGCCCTACATGGACCCCTGGCAACACTTTGCTAGACCCGCCCCTGCACAGTTACCAGCTGTCAGCTGCTTAGAAAAGGCTCCTGGTGTTATTTGTCTCTCAGAAACAGTTCATAACTTCAACTCATCCATGTCACCTAAAAGGTAAACCTGTTTCTCCATCACAGCTCTGATGATTCAGTAAGGACATCTCCTGGTTTCATCTTCATGTTTCCCTCTCACCAGATAACCAAACCGATATCATGACCAGCAGCTTTACAGCTGTGGCTCCAGCAAACATCAGCTGATACTAGAAATTAATATTAAATACATTCTAACAACAGCTGATCAAGCTTAAACGTGCTGCTGTTGTTTAGCGCGACATCCACTGGTTTCCTCTTTCGGCGCAAAGTGGGAGATAAATAAACAAGAGAGAAAAGCCGATCAGCTGATCATTGATCAGTTTCATGAGTGTGTGTGTGTGTGTGTGTGTGTGTGTGTGTGTGTGTGTGTGTGTGTGTGTGTGTGTGGATAATAGCAAACACTGAAATACAGTTTTTGCACGCAGGAATGAATCTTGTTCACTCAAATTTAGCTTTTCTTTGCTCAAAATAAATTTCGCCTCAAAATGCAACACCTTGCATCTGCACCGGGGTTAGGGTTAGGGTTTGTTGGATTACACACACACACGTACACACACGTACAGACACACACACACGTACACACACACACACACAGACACACACACACACACACACACACACACACACACACACACGCATGAGCATCATGTTTCTGTCTGTATTTCCGTGGACGTCACTTGACAGCTGTCACTGAATGTCTCCCACGAGCACGTTTGAGCTTTTTTAATGTTTTGCCCACTTGTTGCCCACTTGTTGCCCACTTGTTGCCCACTTGTTGCCCACTTGTTGCCCACTTGTTGCCCACTTGTTGCCCACTTGTTGCCCACTTGCACCTTTTTGTTTTTGTCTAAACCTGCACAAAGACAGAAATGTGGCATGAGGCCAGTCTCAGCGGTGCATTCACAGCACTATATTTTCCATTCTGCCGATTATTAATAATGAAGCCTGTTATTAAAGAAGCACTAATAATACTGGAGCTGTTAACACACACGCTTACACACATGTGAGCAGAAAAAGTATCTTTATTCAAATGCAGGTTTAAACCTCAGGACCAGCCACAGCTTCTTCAAACTGTGAGACGAAGAATACAAGTTAGTAAAAGCTCAAAGTTCTTTGCATTGATGCTGTGAACATGAACGTGTGTGAAAGGTGTCCTTGTGTGTTGTTACAGCTTCGTACCTGCAGCTCACGAGACAAACATGTATTGGGTCTCAGCCTGGTCACCTGACAGAAACATGGTAGAAAAACATGAAAGTGTCATTTCTCTGAGTCACTGATGGAAACATCAGCTTGTATGAACTGTTCAGTCTGATGGATCCTCTGAAGTGTGTCAGTGTGCTGTTGGAGTAAAGCTTAGTTAGACTTGGACCTGGTTGGTGTGGGGGTGAACAAAAAGTATTTGACCAGCATAATATAATCTGCAGTATGATCATTGCTTTAACAATGTAACAGATAGCTTTAAGAAGGCCTTAAGATGCTTATGCACACAGTTATTATGTTTAGTAGAGGTTCTTGATTAAAACATTTATTTAGTAAAAGTCATATCCATAGTTTCAGTTCGATTATTACATATACGAGAGTGGTTTCTGTCTCTCTGTCTGGTGAGGGGTCAGGAGCTAGTCGCGAGGTGAAACAGGGTGCAATTGTGGTTAGCACACAGACGCGCACACACACACACACTCAGTTAGAGAATCATTTATAGGTGAAAGTTTAATCATGTTTTGCTGATGTTGCAAAGAGCAGTTTGTCGCAGAACTGCTGCGAGCATCCGGCAGTGACAGGAAGCACCTGTTGTGAAGATAGGAGACAATTGTTCTTTTAAACTGTGTCAAAAGTCGTTGTGGTTTTGATTTGATCTATGTATAAAATGTGTCTGTGACGTATGAAGGGGCGTCAGTAAACAAACCCTGATGCTATAAAATATCTGTTCATGCTTTGATTGAGTCGAGGACTACTGGCTGTCTGCGTACAGAGTGTCTTCCCACGCGTGTATTCATTAAAATCATTGTTTGACCAAAGATCCTCTGGACCATGGGTGGTGTGTACTCTCCTTCCTGAACTTTGAATCTTAACATTTGGGGGCTTCGTCCGGTGGTTGAGGAGGGAGGATTGGAGGTTTAGATGGAGAAATTTGGTGGTCTCTGAGGTGGTCTGACGGGCAGACATGAATTCCAGTGGTCGAAGTGAGTGGGCATAAGCCGGCTTATCCAAAAGGTAAGGCACTACCTGTTGAATTATTTCCAAAGTGTGCCAAATTGGACATGATAAAATTTAAGTCTACTCACTGAAGTTACTGGTGGATGTCTGTTTTGATTTTGATGAAAAATCTCATGAGTTGAAGCAGTTAGAGTTCTGCTAAGAAGAATGAAGAAATGAAAGCAGTAAAGTCTGCTAAAGCAGTTAGAGTCTGCCAGGAAAAGTTTAAATACTGGGTTGAAGTCCCAAAGAAATTGAGTTAGAGTCTCAAGTAGTTGGTAGGGAATTGGTTATTGTGTTGGTTAGAGTCCAAATTTGGTCATAAGAGTGGACCTGAGCGGTCATTTTGTGAGTTGGAGTCTCCATTGACCACTAGGTTGCACCTGCTTCAGTTATACACTTGTTTCGGGTGTTGATTGTTGTTTCAAAGTATTATAAATTATTCTAGAACGGCAGTTAGAGTCTGCTAGGAAGCGCAGTTCTCGGAGGTAATGCTCCCTCCCGGCCAAGGACGCTTGGCCCTGACCTATCGGCGAATAGGGTTAGTACGGTTGGCAACCGGGGAGAACTTGGGAACCTCCAAAATAGCTAGGAGTTAGAGTCTCCTTACCGTTTGGAACGGTATCTGCGCTTTTTTGGGCAGCAAAGGTTGGACCTTGGGTGTTGGACACTTTTAAATTGAGTTAGGGATTTTAGAAATGAGGCCAGAAACAGTTAAAGTCTTGATACTGGTTAATTGGTCGCAAAAAACTCAGGGAGTTTATCCGCTGGGCGGTTATTTTAAATTTGTCTAAAATTGTGTAGGCGCTAAAGCTGACAGATCTGACAGTGGTTGTAAATATAAGACGTCGTTGTAATATAGAATAATAAAATTTGGTGTGAGAGATCTCTGTGTGTCGAGTCAGTAATGCACTGACTGCCTGGTGCTATTTTTAGATGTGTGTGTGTGAGTGTGAAAATGCAAGGCAAGGCAAGGCAAGGCAAGTTTATTTGTATAGCACAATTGAACAATAAGGTGATTGAAAGTGCTTTACAGAGACATTAGAAACAAGAACAAATAAAAAGCATGATTTAAAATTGATTAAAACAAGCAAATAAACTAACTAACTAACAAACAAACAAACAATCAAAACAGTATATAAAATCAAAACAGATAAAATCAGAACATGCTTAATAATGTGAATTAGTAAGCAGTGAACTGTTTAAGCCACAGTTGGTTTTACAAATACTGCTGCAAACATTGTTGAGTGTGTGTTTAAAATGCCATTCATGTTTATTAGAGGACTATAAATAAAGTTTTGAGTTGCTGTAGTGGATGTATAGTAATTGACTGAAGTTGGATGTAGATATATAAATATATTGAGTGCACTGTGTATACTTAAGATTAACATATTACTTTCAGTAGTAACTTCTCTCCAGCAATAGTTGCTGGTGTGTTTTATTTTTTCAATTTCTTGTGTGAATGCGGTGACTAGAAGGTTTTGAATGATGAATAAAGGTGTGAGAGGTATTTCTTTGGTGATGTAAAGTAGGATGTTTTAAAGTTTGAAAGTGTTTTTAATTTAAGAGATGCATGAGTGATGTTATAAGAGTTTAGTTTATTTAAAAGGTGTGTGAGAGGATTATGAAATCATTGTGTGAATGATGCTACATTTTAGGTCAAAAGTTAGTAGAATTACAGAGGGTTTGTAGATTGTAAATACAAAATAAGTTTGATTAGCCTGGAGAAACAGCAAAGCAGCTTGAGCTGCTCTGAGCAGCTGCGTGCTGTGTGTGTGTAACAGGAAATGGTGTGGGTGACAGGAAGTTTGCATGCCCATATAAGGTGACGAGTGAGCACCCAGAGAGAGAAACAGATGAGTTAAACTCTAGGCAGATAAAGCGAATGGAGGTTTTGAGAAAAGAAATGAAAAGGATATTAATTGTATGTTTTAGTGTGTCAACACAGATTACAGATAAATAAAGGTGGACTTCTCTCAACCTGGAATTTTGAGTACGGCGCCAAAACCACTAGAGTAGCATAATTGGGAGAAAACAGGCCAGATTTTGGCTTAAAATTTTACAGCTTGACCTCGCACTTGTCCCCATCCTGAGAAGAAGCTCAAAGGACAGTTAATCTCTGATGAAGACCGACAGAACATCGTGGACTTGAGAAGAATTAATAGCAGGCAAAAGACAGTGCAACGGAAACCACACTGACGACACCAGCAGCAGCATGAAAGGAACCACGAGGTGGAAACATGTACTGTAAATTACAGGCTGGGCAGTTGAACAGTGGGATAATGAACGGTGGTAAAGCACTGGACACTGATTGTCAGATTTGTCTTGCTTGGAGTAATCTTGAAAGGGACGAGTGAAAGGATCAACAGACAAGAAGAAACCACGTGATGAACCATGCACGGTGGACAGCAGGCTGGTAAGAACAGTGTGACATGACTGTTTAAAGGCACTGAATGTGGTATTTTGCCAGGCTGGAACTTGATCCAAAAGGAAAATACTGAAGAGAAACAGAGAAGAAACAGACTGTGTTTGCTGGAATTCAAGACAACAAAAGGACACTGAGAGAAGAGGACAGTGACCAGTGAGAGGTGAAGCAGGACGAGTTCGACTGTGAGAATACAGGGTGTAATTGGACTGAAAGTGAAGCTTGAACTCATGATGGTTTAGAGATGTCCACCGTCACAAACAAAGAGGTAAACAAGAATAGAAAACACACATACACAAAGTGTTACATGTGAAATTATTTCTGGAAAGAATCAGAAGTGAGATAGTTTTGAATTAAGAAATCAGGGAAAAGATGCATGAATTAAACCTGACTATAACATATAGAGGCAATGAAGAAAGCAGCTTACACTTACTGAACATTAACAAAATACATAGGAAAAGCAATGAAGACCTGCTTACACGTATATACATAACATAAGTTGGGACCTCTGACTAGAGAGAGGGAAAAGGGTAGTTTAAGTACTTATGATAATAATGAAAATGTCTCAGTTGTGTTTCTATAGGGGCGAAACAGATCTGGATCAATTTTCCACGTGCAGCGGTCGGAAGAGACCTGTAGGTTAACTTGACTGGACATGCCAAGGCAAGTTTCTGGTTGAATTGTTTACAGCGCCATGTCTCCATAAACCTGACAAGTGGGCCCTAGCTTCTGGCTGAGGAGCAGGAATAAGGTGGGAACTTAAAATTTGGGTTAGCAAATTTGGGAAAGAAACTGACGGCTTAAGTGGAGAATTGTGCAGGAGTCTGACACACTGCAAAAGCAACATATGCAAATTCACATACACAAGCAGAAAATGCATTAACCTTATGAAGACAAGACAAGCTCATCGAGATTAATGCATAGATACAGATTGAACTTGGCTAAGAACACAAACATATGCAATGAAGAACAGCTTGCTATTTTGTATGAATGATACAATGGTGTGAATGTTTAATAAAATACATTTGTGTTTGTAATTGAGGAATAGAAGAAGCCATATGACAAAGGGGGTTATGTTTTATGCTGAATTGAAGTATGTTACAGAGCATAAGGGGGTGATTTTTGTGTGCAAATTGTGTGGTTTTAATGAGACTTTCGGTGTATTGAGGAGGTGAAATTATGTGGTGGCAAGACTTGTGTGTTTAAGGTTGTTGTGGTGATGGGTTGATTCTGTCAGTTAGGTTGTTGTCGTTATTTTTGTTTTAATAGAGGGAGTTTTAGGAAACATGGACATGTCTAAAATTGGGCCCATTATTTTGTAACAGTGCACTTAAAAGAAAACCTGTCAGGTGACTTTGTTTTGTTTTTATGAGCTAACAATCAGCTCTATTTTTCATTTCTGTTTTAAGCAGGCCTGCAACAGTGAATAACAGCGCTGAAAATTCTCGGGAGGAGCAAATATAAGGGGGCTTTCCAGATTACAATTGGCTGAGGAGAGCTACCTGTGGGGACTATTCGGGTCGTAAGTCCCTGTAAAAAGGATTTTATGCGAGTCAATCCAGTCCAAGAGCATAAAGAAATATTTTCCTATGGAAAATAAAAAATGACTGAGCTCATTTTGCTGAGGGTGGAGTATCTGATCGTGCGGGAAGCTCCACTATCAGCAAATACATGATGTGACTGTATGTGAGTGAATGTGTGACTGAATGTGAGTGAGGATGAATTAATGTGGACAAACAATTTGTTTTTAC